AAAAAAAAGCTGATGTAGGCTTTACGTTAAAATAATTTTCACTCTGAAATTGCTTACAAATTTCACAAATAATTACAAAGAACTTACATTTTTAAAGTAGAAAGACGAGAAACTGTTAAACCAAACAAAATTGGGTGTAGTAACCATTTGTATTCTAGTAAATGTCATTAATTTCACAACTAATTAAAAAGAATTGGGAAGAAACACATTGAATTACATGACATTTTGAAGTAGAACGACTTAAATAGTATTTTCTTGTCAAATGCACTCCAATAATCTTTGTTTACTTTATATAGTAACTTCAAAGAATAATTTTGTAACAGTGTAGAAGTGTTTGGGTTTGTGTACTTGCATAGAGTATGTTTTAGACCTTATTTATTACAGATAACTGCCATGCAGTTGAATAGTTTAAAAATCTGTATATAACAACATAATGAGTTTTGGAGTTTAGTGGATCATTCACCAAAGATTTTAATAAAATTATGTTATCGTTTACGCACCCTCATGTCATTTCAACCCTATATGACTCCATTTTTAATTTTGGGATCCTCAAAGAACCTTTCAGTGATCAGTTCTTAATTTTCCACTTTTACTTAGTGTGAAGAACTATCTAAGCAATATTTTTCCACTATAAAGGACCTTTTGTGCAATGAAAAGATCCATGCTACCATAGATGCCAATAAAGAAACCTTTTCTTTTTCCAAAGTATCTTCTTCTTCCACAAAAGACATTTTGGAATGGTTTGGAATGACATGGGGGTAAGTAAATGATGATATAATCTTCATTTTTTGAGAGAACTATCCCTTTAAGGGTCTATCCAAACTACAGTTTGTTAGTCAAAACCGATGTGAAACAAGGACAGCAACCTACAATTTTCAAGTGTTTGCACCGCAACATAAAAAAAGCTTAAAGCAAAACTCCTTATTGACCACTGTTTTTGTAAAGAATGACTAAGCCTTTTAATTTGCTCCAAATATGTAACAACCCCGTCACACGATTAGGACTGGATAGGCGTGGTCCACTTACCGACAGAAAATAAAGCATGGGAAAACAGTCCATGTTTGTCGAGAGCTGATACAGGACGAGTTCCTCAAGTGAATGTTATGTGGTCCTGGAAGGCTGTTTAAGAACTGCGGTGAGATTCCTTTCCTGAAATACAAGAGTATATTAGCCATTTAATATTTCATGTATTCCAATTACAGCTAACATTTTAGTATAAGCATGGCATGATTTCAGTAAGAGCAAAATGCAAGTTTGGGCCAGACAGACATCTTAAAGCAACTAAAGTGCTGCTTGTAAATGAGCACTGATTACGTGTTGCACAAGACGGCCAGGTGTGAACACCTGAAAAGATGGCAATTCCATTTACATACAAATAGAGGTTCAATTGTCAACAAAGGGATCTCAGACGGCCTCTTTTATTGATGGTCTTTTAAAAAGCCTTCCTAAAGAGTCTTTAAAAATCCCCCAAGCCAGACTGGCCATTCAAGCGGCACCATCCTGGTCCAACACCTTTATGATCTGTTAACCCACAACATCCCAACTGTGTAGCTACCTGATTTGCGCCAAAAGTGGAATGGATTTAAGA